TCCTCTCTGGCAGCTGGAGCTGGCCAGTGCAGCCCTGGGTGCAGCCCCACGGCACCGTGCCATGGTAGGCAGCCAGGACAGCAGCAGGGAGGGCTGTGGTGCCCAGAAGCAGGGTGAGCACTCTCCAAGCTCTTCTGCCAGCCCCAGACGGTTCCCGTGCCAGCCTCTCATGAGGTGTCTGCACCTCCGGCAGACCAGCACGTCGCTGCTCCTCTACCACCATTCCTCTTGGTTCCCCTGTAAGTGCCTTCTATTTTGGCCAGGACAGAAGAGCCAGAACCAAGACCACCACCCCCCCTTTCCCCACCTTCACCCTTTCTTTTTGCTGGACAGCCCATACTGGGGGCTTGAAGACAGGCAAGGGGCAGAATCCTGAGTGCACAGACACTTGCTGCCTCGCCAGACCTCCCAGGGACTTTGCAAGGTCTCTCTGGGGGGCACACACCTTGGTTTACCATAAAGTCAAAACATTTTGATATAAATGCAACACAGAGAAGCAGTCAAACGCTTAGAGCATCCCCAGCCATCCACCCCACTGTGACCCAGGAGACTCCAGCTGCTTTCCAGCCCGGCCCATCCTTCCCCACAGCTCTGTCCCTCGCTGGCTGTATCCTAGAAGCCTTCCCTTCTCCTCCAGCCCCTCTCAAGCAGCAAACAGCCCCTACCTGGTCACTGTGAAGACACTGTTGTTGCTGAAGTTGGAGTCGCCCGATGCATCCAGAGAGCCTGGGGGCAGATAAACAGGAGACAGTTAGTGGGATGGCAGGGGAGGCGGAGAGCAGGACTGGGAGGCTGGAGAGCTGCACGACCTTCTGCAGAGACATCACCAGCCATCACTTCAGGGTTCGGCAACCCTGAGGATCCCCTCTGCCTGCAGCGAGCATTTTAATCTCCTTGTCAAGCTCTTCTCCACTGCCAGAGGTACTGGACGAAGCTGGTGGAGGACTGCACTAACAAAGGCAGGCTGGCAGCTTCACACCTCTACCCCAAACTGGGTCTCCTCCTCTGGAATGGAGACCCAGACACCTCCTTCTGATGGCTTCAACCATTGCCAAAAGAAGGAGCTCAGAACTGCAGAGCTGCCTTCCACCATCCAGATTTCAATGCCTGGAGATATCACACAGGCACAGGAAGGGCTGAATCCAACCCAGGACTTCTCCACTGGGACAGCTCTCCCGTGGCAGGACTCCCTGTTACAGCCAAGCGACCCAAACAGCTTTCCAACCTCTGCTCTGGGCTAAAACCGGGTTTTACAAGCATGGTGACAAAGCAGGACGGGATGAACCAGACTCTTTATGCCCCCTTGT